AAAAAGAAAAAAAAAAAGAAAAAAGAAAAAAAATTTTAAGTTTTATTTTTCATAATATTTTTTTATATTATTATTTTTTTCCACATCATCACTTTTTGGCTATATTATCTTCCACATGGACTACTATATGACATGTCATTTGGTAATTGTGAAGTAACATGCCACGTCACACAATTTTTAATGGAAGGACCAAATTGGGATAAAAATGATAAACAGTATAGATCAAATTAGGGATTTTTTTAGTTTAAGAACCAAATTGGGAGTCCGTATAATAGTTCATGAACCAAAAAAGGATTTTAACCAATTAAAAAATTAAAAAAAAAAAAAGCTATCACCATTTCTTCCGCTAAAAATGATTATTCTATACGTCTCTCCTAATCTAAAACAAAATCATCAACTCAAAATTAAACACATCCATATCTCAACTAATACTAGAAAGCTATGAGACAGAAATTTCCTTTTCCTTTGTTATTATGAGCAGTGCTAGGGGCACTCGCCTCTTGCACTCTCCAGCCAACACTTCCCCTTTCATTGGGCCACGTAAGCTTATTTCAGGCTTTAAAGTGCAACCTCTTGCCGATGAAAATAACGTGGCCCAAAAAAAGTGAAAGCGTTGGCCGGAGAGTGCAGGAGGCGAGTGCCCCTAGCACTCCTCTTGTTATTATATTGGAGGAAATTTTATGATTAAAAATAAAAAAAAGGAAAACTCACCCTTGCAAGTTGCAACAGAGACACCAAGGCCAAATTTTCTTCACATCTCCTGCATCCTTGTCGATGGAGACATATGCTAGAACCTTGGCGCACTGCCAACCAAAAGCAAGCGTTTTGTTTTTGCAGAATGTCCATTGAATTCAGCTCTGCAAACTTATAATTCCAAGTCAATTTAAGCAGTCAAGTCAATGGTTTTCAGGGTTATTTAAAAATCGGAGCATTTCCTAATTTTTTCCTCCTTCAACAACATCTGCATTTTCCAAGTCAATTCCTCCAGACCCAAATCTTGCGCTTAAAAATAATAAATTTAGGAACGCAAAAAAGAGGATAGTGAGGCTGAGTCCAAATTCATGCTCAGCACAACAGGCCCAAAAGTTCCATTCATAAAACCGAAACTAGTAATACGTGCAGCCCAAACCAGATCCTTGATTATAACAAGACCGTGGAATTTGTAGGTGGGAAATGTCCAACACCGTCAAGTTTGTTATCAGGTCATCTAGACATTCTTACCGTAGCATTTACTTACAAAAATTTGATAATTCTAAATTGGTTACTGTTAGT